CAAACTGTGATGCTCTCTCCTGGCTGCTGTTGGGGATGGAGTTTATAATTCAAGTGCTGCTTTTAGATCTAAGTTTTGTTCTATTCCATCTGAACTGCTGTATGTGGAGGTAGGAGTGCACTTATCTCCTGTGTGTCAGACATACTGAAATAGCCATTCCAGTGTAAATCATTGGGTCAGCTTCATCTCTGAGCAGAGTTAAGAGGAAATGAGTTCCTTGTCTAGGGCTTGCTTCCCTTCGAGTCCTTTAAACAAAATGTCAAATTTGGGCCTTTTGCTTCTCATACAATGAGAGCAGTTTCAATGTATGATATGGAGGAGTCAAGACTTCCAAGACTAAATCAAACTTCCTAAAAAGTAGTTTTGAAATCAGAAATTATTTAAGTGGCTTCAGTACAGTCAGAGCAGTAGTTGTCTTTCTTCCCCTCTTCATCTCAGCCATAAATGTTATTGGAGATGTATCCAAATTCTTACTTTAGTAGTCTTTGTAATTCTGATTTGGTCACCACCTAGTGCCAGCGAAGGTGTGTTCCCATCAATTTTCTTGTATAGTTACAGGGAAATTTCAGGCAAATTGCCTGTGTTCAAAGGCAAGGGCTTTGGCTGGAATTTGGAGGGGAAAAGGAAGCTGTGCCCCCTGTTCTAGCAGGGGGAACTTTGTTGCTTTTAAGTTGGTGGTCTGTTCCTTACAGAATTCCAATTCCATTATTTTCTGATATTTAGTAGTAGAAGTAATAAGCATTTGTGGCTTGAATCTATTTCAGCGCAGCAAAAATGCTTTTGCTTGTCAGAATTTCATATATTCTCTTTTCCTACTATTCTTAAGGTGTTCTTCATAGTTTTGATCTTAGTGTTTTTTAAGTCAGCTGGAGTCTAAACTACTGGAATATCCACAGCTGGTTTTGTATCAATAGATGATGTTCTTGCTGAGGTGATTATACTGCTGATGTAGAAAAGGAAAAGCATAAAAAGGTGTGTTACTCTGTAGGTGCACAGTCTGTGGGAACTGGGAGTGGGGCTGGAGCCTCATCCCCAACGGGCTGCAGCTGTGCCAAGCAGGTGAGCAGCATTGAAGGGAACGAGGCAGGGAGTGCCCAGGTGTGACTGACCAGGCACAAAGGGAACAGAGGGCACACAGGTGCCATGCATGAACCATGAGGGTATAAAAAGTTGGGCTGAGGAACAAGACGAGCAGACACTTGCAGCCTTGTGAAGTAGTCTGGTGTAACTCTGTATGAGCACATGTCTGAAGCCTTCTGATGAAGTATGGTGTTACTGTGTATGGGTTGAAGCCTTCTGATGTTCTGTGGTGATGCTCTGTGTATCGTGGCCCTCTCAACTGCGGCATGTGCATTTACAACATTGCCCTTCTAAAATTAAGTGCAGTGATGAACAGGTATACAGGAAACCACGAATAAAGCGAAGAATGTGTGTTTGCTGGTTCTGGGTTCTGTATGGTTTCATCTGATTAAGCTTTTGGGATTTCCGTACTATTCAGGAAGGGCCTAGGCTTGTCTGTGTTATTTTTCACGTGCAGGAAGTCATACAGATAGAAATGAACTTCTGTGACTTTACTTTTCCCGTCTCTTCAAAATACCAAATAATGAGCAGATTGTCTGTTTCATTTTGCCATTATCTGTACACGTTCTTCCTTCTCTTTTGGGAATTTTCTAGCTTTGATCCAAATTGATTTCACATAAACAGACCCATTTTCATAGTAGGTTTAGCTCTCATTTTCTGTCTTCCAAAAAAAAAAAAAAAATAGGGAAGAGCTTGCATCTCTGATCATACTTGAAAAGGTTAATCACTGATAGATTCTCACTGGGTGTACGTATTGCCAGTAACTTCCACTGACAGTTTTCGGTGGCCAGAGGCCCCGTGCCTTTGGTGCAACGTGATGGTGTCCGGAGGAGGAGGAGGATGATGTCCCAGTCCCTTTTCTTTTCTGGGGAGCTTGTGTTAAAAGCTGGGCACGTCTCTGCCAGCCCTTGGGCTGCTGCAGCAGGACTACCAGTGCTTTCTTTATGAGCATATGTGCTACAAGGAATAACCTGAGAGTGTGCTGGAGGTTATTGCTGCTCCCTCTCATGAGCTTTCAGGGACCAGCCGTTCCATTAGCTTCAAGCCTTGGAGGTGCTGCTGGTTGTTTATCTTCCTTCTTAGCAGGAAATGTCCCAAATGTTTTTCAGTATTTCTCCTGTTCTTTCCTGGGAGCTCGTGCCTGCAGGTGCATGGCACAGCTGGAGGGACTGGAGCAGTGGCACTCACCTGAAGCTAGCTCCGATGGGTGCGGAGGCTGCAAACCCCACCCCGTGGGAACAGCATTTCATGCAGTGTTGAGTAATTGGGCTGTGGGAAGAGTGTTTCAGCGACTAAAGCTCTCCAAGTAGGGCACCTCATGATCCCTGAAGTGATTTAAAGTACATTAGGGAGATGAATGAAGTGGGAAGCGTATATAAGGTGGTATTTTTCAGCACAGCTTTTCATGACATAGAGATAAACGTTTTTGATGTGTCACTAGGCTAACATTTCCTTTAGTCAGGTAGCTTGTGTCAGTCCATGCCAGATGTTGTACAGGAAGGCAAGCTCTAATAAGGCTTCCAGTGCTCCATAGGAGGAGAAAATAATTCTTTCAAATTTAGCTCAAGATGTTAATCTCTGAAGCACATATTTACCTGTGCCAGTTTATTACAACACTTGCATTTTAAAAGCTAAATTCTGTTCTTAGGCACACATGACGTTACTCCCACACAGACAGGGCAGTCCTTCAGGGCATTTAGGTGTCAGTGAGGCAGATTGTCTTTGTAAGGACAAGACTTAATATTGGGATTTTAGTGGTTTTCTTCCATGTCTTGCTGTAGTCTTCTTTCTCACATTAATTAATTTGAGTGTTTAAAACTGTTTTTCTCTAGTATGTAAGAAGGCTCACCTGCTAACACGCAGTCACCCTTTTTGATGTTTGTGGTCGATGTTTGTGCTCAGCTTGACATTCTTTTCAGTTTGACATCAGTTGTAACACAGCACATT